TTTTACTTATTTATTGTGTTCTTAATGTCAATGATAATGTTATTCATCATGTCACTCTGAGTTTCTGATTCACAGAGGGCACTAGAGGTGGAATGAAAGAATCTATGTTGTGGTGAACACCGGTACAAGCAGCAAGCTTCAAAACTGTCCACATTTATTAGCTAACAGTGGAGGTTCGTTTCCTAATTCCTCACCATTGATTTGTAGGTAACTCAGGCGTGGCAACAGGCAAAACAACCCAGGTCTAGACACAACATCTCAATCAAGGTAGTATCATCATAAATAAGTACTAAGTAAATGTCTCCTACCTACTTAGTAAATACATGTAAAACAAAGGTTTGGAGAAAAAATTAAAAAATAAACAGAAAGTAGGTAATCACTTTATCACAGATTCTGAATTTTGTCCTCAAACACCTCGGATATAGTGTCTAACCTCACTTCCTTAATTCACATGAACAGTACATTTACTTATCTTGAAGAGGCCTTGGATAAATTGGCTCTGATATTTGCTGTCTCATGTCAACCTTTGAAACTCACATGCCCGTCAGATAGCATTATCTAATTTCCTGCACTGTACTCAGAACTATCCTCAGGGACAATACAGCTGCTGGGTAATTCAGAATGGGAACTAAAAGTACTTCTTCGGAATCTGGGGCTCCTTCCTTTTCGCTCATAAGAGGAGTCCCTCAGGAAGCAGTAATGGAGCACAGTATGGGGGTACTCCCATTAACACCTATGGAGGCTCATGGCTGGAGCCCAGACTTTCTTTCCAGTGTGCAGATGACTCCAGCAGAGGAGCCGGGCCCCGTCAGCCTGCCTCTTACTGTGAGGCACAGCAGTTCAAAATATTGTATGCAGGCAGAATCAATGTGGAGTATAAGCAGGAGGTTTCTTTCTTTCTTTCTTTCTTTCTTCCTTTGTTGATATGCTTGAAGCAGTATGACCAATAAAGAGACAAAAATAGAGTTTAAGAGGCTTAATTTGGGAGTAGCTTCAATCTGTAGATAACATGCCACCTAGAACAACACCAGATTGTCCAAAATTATTTACTGCATTCAACCCACTTAGACTCTTGGTGGTTAGAGTTTATTTAAACTACACTGGTGAGAGTTGAGAAAGACACAGTACCTCAGAGAACACATGGTCATGACTTATGAGTACCTCAAGCCATGCAAAATCACCAGAGCTAAGGGAACTACTTCAAGGAAGCAAAGCTGGCCCATCATCCTAAGGCCCAGAGGTAACCTCACAGCCACTAAAATGACTCCCTCAGCCAGTCAGGCTCATTCACTCCCATTCAAAATAACTATGTGATGATACGGGCAAACCACACAGTGCTTGACTTTGTGTAAGGCAAAAGGTGACAGCAAATTTCTAGAAGTTAATAAATAGGTTAGCAGTTTTCTTTCACTCTGCTCATAGCAGCATGGAAAAATCACTGAAGTGTAAAAACAGGATTCTGTCACACCAGTACTTCACATCCAGTGCTACAGGAGAATGAAATATCGACATATTTCTGGGTAGTTCTCATAATTTCACCCAGCTCAAAAGAATGAGTGAAATGCTGCCATGTAACAAGAAAACACCTGGGGAAGAGAAAGAAAATGATCGCTCACTCGTCTCCTTTGCACCTTTGGATTTCTTATAGCTAAGGATACACATTTCTTAGAGTGATTGGAGAGGGTGGTAACATCTGTCAAATCTGTTAAAGTCAAGACATGAAACTCATTTTTAAGATCTCAGTAGAGGAGAAAATGAGAGAAAGGTAACTTGTAATTTCTGCCCATTAGGTATGCAGGAATAACTAAGTGAAATGAATGCTTAATAAAACCTTCCTTTGACTTTTTAAAAATTCAATTTCTCCATTTAATAACACTGTCATTTGTAATTATAGGAGTGTTGGAATTTTATTTCCCCTTTTCTGCATCCTAAATTTTCTTCTGAGAGAAAATAAAATCTTAAATGTAATCGTATGTAAAAAGGTGGTAAATTAGCCTAGTACTTTTCATATTATTTTCATCAATCAATGTAGTTGAATGAAAGGAAAGGAAAGAAAACAAACTGTATTTCTACTATGTATGGCACCATGCAGGCTAGTAAAAAAAAAGAAAAAACTTAAGAGCTTGAGCACATGTCCCTTGGGTGCTATGACTCTTATGACAGGGTGATTTCTAGAAATTCATTAATCCTTTCAAAAAATATTTACTGCACACACAGTGAGCAATGGTCTGTGCAGGAAGCTGGGAGCATTGCAGGTGTAAGCACAATGTGCAACTGTAAATAAGATGGAGAATATGCCCTTGAGGACTTCATTGTATAGAAGGGGAGGAGACATACTGTTTTTAATCTTGTACTCAAATTGTTTGCATAAAAGAGTCAAGAAAAGTAGAGATAAGTATTATGGAATTTCAGTGTAGGGTGAGATTACTTCCTACAAGGAAGGATCAGGGAGGAATTTGAGAAGCAGATATAACTGATTTTGCATCAGAAAATGGGAAATCTTGGGACATGTGCAGAAGATAGAAGGATATTGTCCTTGAAGGGGACAGCATGAGCAAAGATGTGAAAAAAGAAAGCATGGTAGACCAAAACATTGTTCAGTACACCTGAATGGAGGGGAAGGGAGTAGCTGAAAAGATAGATTGGGGATTTATACACTAAATAATGGCCACCTAAAGATGTCCACATCCTAATCCCGGGAACCTGTAACTATGTTACCTTATGTGGCAAAACAGACTTTGTAGATATGATGAAATTAAGAATCCTGAGTTGGGGAGATAATCCTGGATTATCTGTGTAGGCTCAGTGTAATCCCAAGGGTCATTATAAGTGAAAGAGGGAGTCAGAAGCAAAGGAGATGTAATAAAGGAAGCAAAGGTCAGGGTCCTATAAGGAAGGGACCCGTGGCTACAACAACTCAAGAAAAGCAGGCAGCTTCTAGATACTGTAAAAGGCAAGGTTAATAGATCTGCTGTGTCTCCAGAAGGAATGGAGCCTTGTTAACCTACTTGAGACTTGTAACTTCTAAAACTATAAGGTAAGAAATTTGTGTTGTTTTAAGCTACTGTGTTTGTGGCAATTTGTTATGGCAGCAATGGGAAACTAATACAGAGCGGGACACTTTGAATACTACGTTATAGCATTGGTAATGGTTTGTCCAACCCTTCTTGGTGGTTCCACAACTTTTACTAATTTTTTTATTACAGCACTTATGTTATATTTTAAAAATATATTTATCTGCCTGTCTTCTCTGAGTTATAAAGAGGATAAAAGTGTTATTAACAAAATATAGAAAACTCACAAAGAGAAAAAGATTTGAGAGGAAGCTGCTCAATACTTTTGTGAACACAGTACATTTGAAATGTCAGTGGGTCAATATAGTGGGTAGACAGTTAGAAATGGAAATTCATGCCTTTTACTTAGAAATAAAGGTGTATAACTCTCAGAAGCAATTACTAAAATTTATTATTATAGTTCATAGAATATAGACTCATTGAAGTGTGGCTATTGACCACTGGAAAAACTTGAGTGGTATGTATTCATGAGAAGGGAATTATTTAATCAGGATATTTTGACACAGGTTGTTGGAAGAAGTGATTTTATAGTATGTATTATTAGCTGAAATGTCATCATTTTAATTAGCTTGCGATTATCCATAAGCAGAGTTTAAGACAAACTAATACAGATGAATTCATGGATAGAGAAAAAGACTTTGTAAAGTGCCTCACTCATAAGTTCCTTGGTTTCTGAAATACCTTTAAGAGGACATTAATCCTTCAACTACACAAATATTTCTGAGTACCTACTCATGCAATGTAGAGCTCTTTATTCATCTTGTACCTAACATAGTCTTTGCCTGTGAGAAGCTTATTATCTATCTCCTTTTGATATAAAGTTGTGTACTCCCCGAAAGTACTATATAATTAATTCAATTTCTCCATTTAATAACACTGTCATTTGTAATTATAGGAGTGTTGGAATTTTATTTCCCCTTTTCTGCATCCTAAATTTTCTTCTGAGAGAAAATAAAATCTTAAATGTAATCGTATGTAAAAAGGTGGTAAATTAGCCTAGTACTTTTCATATTATTTTCAGCAATCAATGTAGTTGAATGAAAGGAAAGGAAAGAAAACAAACTGTATTTCTACTATGTATGGCACCATGCAGGCTAGTAAAAAAAAAGAAAAAACTTAAGAGCTTGAGCACATGTCCCTTGGGTGCTATGACTCTTATGACAGGGTGATTTCTAGAAATTCATTAATCCTTTCAAAAAATATTTACTGCACACACAGTGAGCAATGGTCTGTGCAGGAAGCTGGGAGCATTGCAGGTGTAAGCACAATGTGCAACTGTAAATAAGATGGAGAATATGCCCTTGAGGACTTCATTGTATAGAAGGGGAGGAGACATACTGTTTTTAATCTTGTACTCAAATTGTTTGCATAAAAGAGTCAAGAAAAGTAGAGATAAGTATTATGGAATTTCAGTGTAGGGTGAGATTACTTCCTACAAGGAAGGATCAGGGAGGAATTTGAGAAGCAGATATAACTGATTTTGCATCAGAAAATGGGAAATCTTGGGACATGTGCAGAAGATAGAAGGATATTGTCCTTGAAGGGGACAGCATGAGCAAAGATGTGAAAAAAGAAAGCATGGTAGACCAAAACATTGTTCAGTACACCTGAATGGAGGGGAAGGGAGTAGCTGAAAAGATAGATTGGGGATTTATACACTAAATAATGGCCACCTAAAGATGTCCACATCCTAATCCCGGGAACCTGTAACTATGTTACCTTATGTGGCAAAACAGACTTTGTAGATATGATGAAATTAAGAATCCTGAGTTGGGGAGATAATCCTGGATTATCTGTGTAGGCTCAGTGTAATCCCAAGGGTCATTATAAGTGAAAGAGGGAGTCAGAAGCAAAGGAGATGTAATAAAGGAAGCAAAGGTCAGGGTCCTATAAGGAAGGGACCCGTGGCTACAACAACTCAAGAAAAGCAGGCAGCTTCTAGATACTGTAAAAGGCAAGGTTAATAGATCTGCTGTGTCTCCAGAAGGAATGGAGCCTTGTTAACCTACTTGAGACTTGTAACTTCTAAAACTATAAGGTAAGAAATTTGTGTTGTTTTAAGCTACTGTGTTTGTGGCAATTTGTTATGGCAGCAATGGGAAACTAATACAGAGCGGGACACTTTGAATACTACGTTATAGCATTGGTAATGGTTTGTCCAACCCTTCTTGGTGGTTCCACAACTTTTACTAATTTTTTTATTACAGCACTTATGTTATATTTTAAAAATATATTTATCTGCCTGTCTTCTCTGAGTTATAAAGAGGATAAAAGTGTTATTAACAAAATATAGAAAACTCACAAAGAGAAAAAGATTTGAGAGGAAGCTGCTCAATACTTTTGTGAACACAGTACATTTGAAATGTCAGTGGGTCAATATAGTGGGTAGACAGTTAGAAATGGAAATTCATGCCTTTTACTTAGAAATAAAGGTGTATAACTCTCAGAAGCAATTACTAAAATTTATTATTATAGTTCATAGAATATAGACTCATTGAAGTGTGGCTATTGACCACTGGAAAAACTTGAGTGGTATGTATTCATGAGAAGGGAATTATTTAATCAGGATATTTTGACACAGGTTGTTGGAAGAAGTGATTTTATAGTATGTATTATTAGCTGAAATGTCATCATTTTAATTAGCTTGCGATTATCCATAAGCAGAGTTTAAGACAAACTAATACAGATGAATTCATGGATAGAGAAAAAGACTTTGTAAAGTGCCTCACTCATAAGTTCCTTGGTTTCTGAAATACCTTTAAGAGGACATTAATCCTTCAACTACACAAATATTTCTGAGTACCTACTCATGCAATGTAGAGCTCTTTATTCATCTTGTACCTAACATAGTCTTTGCCTGTGAGAAGCTTATTATCTATCTCCTTTTGATATAAAGTTGTGTACTCCCCGAAAGTACTATATAATTAGAGGGAATTGCCCTAACTTACTCTTTTCACACAGTATATAATGTTTCAGTCTCCCCACAGTGTCCACACCTATTCCTCTCTTACCGTTTGTTCCCGGAGCTCCTCTCTGTGGACTTGGAAGAGCCTGTGGACATGGTGCCGGGCGCCCTAGGAAGCCGTTGGATGGAGCCGCGGAGAGGGCTTCACATGGGGCGGGACGACCGGCAAAGGAGGCTTAAAACACGGACAGCACAAACAACCTGTGCCTACTTCAAGTCCTAGGCTGGCCCAGATTACTACCACTCCAGGGATTTTATAAGATGCTGCTGAGTTGCTTCCACAAAAAGATAGCCTGCTCAGCAGACCAGGAGGACCCCCCGCCCCACACACACAGGAACGCCATGAAGTTCAGCCGTCATGCAGACATTTCAGGCAAAATAGGACACTGCAGTCTCTACTCTTCTGTCCCAAAGAGCAAATCACCCAGGTCAACCAAATAAGCAAAAGCAGGGCAGAATAAAAGCTTTCGCTCCCTAAATTCTGAAGATATGAATGTATATCCCTTCCCAAACCAGGGCGCAACACATCTCCACAGAACTACATCCCTGTAATGTTCTATAAATAATAGCTCCTGGCAGTGAATGCAATGGGGTGTCAGGGGGTACTCAATAATAAGGGTGAATGTAATAACATTGTTTTTCTTGTGAAACCTTCATAAGAGTGTATACATAATAAAAAAAATGATGCCTCCCAAGTTTAACCAAATCTTACATCATTAGTGACCCCCAAAGTCATGTAATAAGGAGGAAGAACTCCACCACATGTAATTCTTACATACGCATAACATTTTTAAAATTGTAACATATGTGCAATGGATTCTTTCCAAAATATGTCATTTTCCATAATATGTGCTTGGATGTCTTTTTCTGGAAGGAAATACCAAACTTTCTCCAAAACTTTATTTTTGGAACATCCACTTTTTTGATACCCAAAGCACATGTAAATTGAAGCATACCTCTTTAAGAAAAAATCAAAAAGTAAAATGGACCAAATTTTGCCGAAAATCATTCTGAAACATTATTCAGTTCCCTGCCTTCTTAATCAAAGGACACTGAATGTAATTTAACCTTTTTTATAATGACATGGGTTTCATTATTATGAATGCTAATTATTCTATGGTGCTGTGACCCAGGGAACACCTCAGAGACTGGTGCAGTATATTGAGATTCTTGCCTATACAAGAAGCAGCATGGCTGCTTTTTTTTTTTTTTTAACATTTTGAGTAGGCTGTTCATTAATTTTCTGCAGCTTTTCTTACTGGCATTATGTACATTGATTGCCTTTTCCTACTACTCTCATTGAAGTTAGCTTACCTGCTCCTATTAATTCTTAACAGAGATCAAGTAAGATACTCCCAATGTGCCAAGGGAAATTACCTTGCACTGGGGAATTAGCCTAATGCTTCTCAAACTTTAATGTGCTACAGTTCACACTGGGGTCTTGTTAAAATGCAGGTTCAGACCCGGTAGTTTTGGAAAGAGAACTAAAAATCTGTGTTTCTAACCAGCTGCTACATAATTTCCATGCTGTTGTTCTTTGGAACTCACTTTGAGTAGCAAGACATTAGACAATCACATTTTTAAAGAACTGTGTCTATACTAAAGGTAACCAAGTTCTGAGGGAGGTATTCAAGACTACTCTCCTATAAACAAGTTCTAAAAACTTAAATATAGACTTTAAATTTGCTATCTCCAAAATGACTTTCCTTATCAGTATGTCCATCCCCGTGATTCCACCACATAAACCATCTCTTTCTTCTCTACACTAGCATAGAACTTAATTTATGCCTCTTTTATGGAATTTATATCTTTATAAATTGCTGTTATTTAGATATATCAAGTACTGAACCAGAAAATGAACCAAATCTCACATATATATTCTCCTTAAAATTATGTTCTTTGAATAAATGTAGAGATTGAAGAATTAAGAATTATAAGGTCTTCTCCATATAATTTCAGATTCTTTATTGCATGAATTTGTTAGATAAGTAATCAGGAAGTCGAGCAATATTAAAATCAAACATACCATGTCAAGTTCTAGTAAACTGTCAAGAACGTTTTCAGAGTTCCTGCCTCTGTTATATATATGAATCCCTTCCTAGTTTCCTTCCCCCACGTACATACCTAACAGAACATGCACACACAGGCACAGCTCTGAATATCTACCATCTTCATATTATGTAACTTCCCAAACCTTTCCTGAGTAGAGTTTGGAATTAACTTACATAAAATGTAAATGAATGACTATAGCTTAAAGTGCTGTTTCCCACCCCCACCCTAATGAGGGGTTTGAATGTTTTAACAGATATCAAACTCTATATGTAATGGAATAAAGTCATTAAAGAAGACTTTGGGGCTTTTAATTATTAAGCAAAGGACAGATTTCGATAGAGGGCCTCTGAGTGCCCCCACATCATGGTAAGTTATTGTGATCTTCTCCCAAATAATTGTTAATTCAGAGATTTCCTGCACTTGGGCTGTAAAGTCTCTTTGTAGTGATAAACTGCTTCTAGACTGATCTGAGGAACCGAAATGCACAGAAAATCCCCACTACAAGTGCAAACTATAGAACCGGTCAAGGCTAAAGCAGGACAAACACAAAAATCAATTTGACAGCTCATTTGAATCTACACTGTGCTTCTTTCCAAGGGCAGACAGTATTTATCATCTAGTTGGGAAAGAATAAAACAAAATCCCAATTTCCATTAAGCATCTGTGTAATGAAATGGAAATCGTCTAACTACAGATGATTGAAATATCTAAGTAATAGTATCAGTGAAAGCAGAAATCATACTAGATTTTGGGTTAATAAGATGCTGTACCTATTTTACTAATTTAGTCTGGCATACCAGTCTGCTACTTTCCCCACACCTTTAATTAAATCAGTGTTTACCTCTATGGAATTCTAAATAGAGTCAATAATAGGCGCTCAGAAGGAAAAGGCAGGACACAAGACAAGACAGTCAACATAATTTGAAGCAGTCAACATGAAGTCACTCTATGCCAATTTATTTCTAAATAATAGAGAAGATGAAGAAAATAAGCCTGGATTATATTCCACAGAGTCTGGAGGTGTTTATCCCAATTATATGATATCAATGTAGTAAAACCTACAGTAAGGGGGGTAAGCGTCTGCCTTTCCTGACACTAGAGACTGTTCTCTGTGAAAATGACTGGAAATCAGCTCAGAAATCTGAGCATAAAACTGGCAAGTGAGACACTCTGGAGCTCTGGCAGATGTGCTATAGAGAGCTACACAATGAAGTTCTTATACTTACTTTCTGGTCACTCAGGAGTTGCTCATTTGTGAAAGCCAAACAACAAACAGAATCTCGATTTCATATAACATAAAATCATAAAAATGTTATTTTCTTCCCCAAAACTAAACAAATCCAAGTCAGCATATTTTGCTGAAAAGAAAAGAGAGAAGATGTACTGCTAGCTTGGTGTGACTTAAAAATTGCGGACAGCCTGGGCTTTTGAGTCAAAGAAAGTGTGGCCAAACTATTTAACATCTCTACAGCATTTCAGTGTCCTCATTACAAAACGATGCTAATATCTATCTCACAGAGAGGTTTTGGATAAATGAAATATTATTTGTAGGTTGTTTAGCAAAATGACCACTCAATAAATAGTATTTATTACCACTTCTATGGAAGGAATCATGTTGAAGCACACATTTTATAGTCTCTTTCAGCTTGTCTGAAAATTAAAAGGGGTGAATTGGATGCATACCAAAATTGCATAATCACCAGAGGTTTAAATGAATTAAAATATGTAGAACACTTAGAAGGTCATAAAAAGGGTAAGCTATTATCACAGAGAGCAGTATGATGTGTTACAAAAAATGGACTCTGAAGCCCGATTATTTGCATTCATATCCCTATTCAACCTCTGACCAGATGTGTGCTTCAGACAAGTCAACTGAAGTCTTTACCTCAGTTTCCTCATCTATAAAATGAGAATAATAACATTTACTTATTGGATTGCAAAGAAAATTAAATTGGTTAATGAATGAAAATAAGATATCTGCACATTACAAAGTTCTATTTAAGTGTTAACATATAACCTTTTTTTTCCTCTTGTATAGCACACAGTTGGCTGTTACACATAGACCTTACAGTTATCTCCAATAATTTCTGCCTTTTAGCATCCACACCTTTTTGTAGTCTCCTCCCCTTCAGTATAGACAGGACCCGATGACTGGCTTCTAGCTGATATAAAATGGCAAATGTGCCACACCCTGGATTAGGTTATGTTATGAAGACTTAGTCTTCAGTGTCTGGAGTGATACTCCTGGAAATTTACCCAAAGAAAACAAGATCTCTGATTCAAAAAGACATATGATTATTGCAGCACTATTTATAATAGCCAAGATATGGAAGCAACCTAAGTGTCCATCAGTAGATGAATGGATAAAGAAGGTATGGTACATATACACAATGGAATATTATTCAGCCATGAGAAGAAAACAAATCCCTACCATTTGCAACAACATGGATGGATCTAGAGGGTATTATGCTCAGTGAAATAAACCAGGTGGAGAAAGACAAATACCAAATGATTTCACTCATTTGTGGAGTCTAACAACAAAGCAAAATTGAAGGAACAAAGCAGCAGCAGCTCAGATTCCAAGAAGGGACTAGTGGTTACCAAAGGGGAGGGGTTGGGAAGGGTGGGTGGGGAGGGAGGGAGAAGGGGATTAAGGGGCATTATGATTAGCAAATACAATGTAGGGGGGTCAAGGGGAAAGCAGTATAGCACAGAGAAGACAAGTAGTGACTCTAGAGCATCTTATTATGCTGATGGACAGTGACTGCAATGGGATGTGTAGGGGGACTTGATAATATGGGTGAATGTTGAAACCACAATGTTGTTCAGGTGAAATCTTCATAAGATTGTATATCAATGATACCTTAATTGGAAAAAAAAAGAGTCTGGAATGATAGACTCCCCTGCTGGCCTTGAAAAAGCAAGCTGCTGTGATCCCAACTGCTTATGGACAACGTTGTGTGGTAGGGAGCTGCAGGTGGCCCTTAGCAGCTGAGGCCTCAGTCCTATAACCAACAGGAACTGAATTCTGCCAACAGCTGTGCAAGCTTGGAAGCTGACCCTGAGATCCAGAAAGGAGGGCAGCCGCTAAGCTGACGCTGTGATGGACTGTCTCATGAGAGCCAAAACAAAGACCCAGGTAAGGCATGCCTGGACTCCTGACCCAAAGAAAGCACAGATAATAAACGTATGTTGTTTTAAGCCTAGAAGTCTGTCACAATTTGATACACAACAATAGAAAACTACTACACAAACCTGCATGTAAACTGAGAGAACAGAATAGGAAGACGTGGAAAAGCTAACTTTTTCAGTGCCCTTGAGTCACTTTTCTGACAGCTGATTGTACTAAGCAAAGCAGGTCCAGTGTTAGTTCCAGGCTGGATGGGCTTTGCCTGCCTGAACCACAGCTAAGTCTATCTTTGTAAAATACACTGAGGACAGAAAGATCTAACCCTAGCCTACATTCCTCCTCCAGGTCTCATTTTAACTTTTGGCCTTCACAAATGACAAGAGTATTAACATATCAGCGATTTTGTTTTTCCAGCTTCAGATTCCAGTTCATAATTTTTAGGAAAATACATATGTACTAAAAAGCTTTTCTGATAGTGGGAATGGGAGATAGAAAAAAAATTTTTTTTTAATATATAAGGGGTTAGTAGGTTTTGCTGAGAAAGCTTACCCTGCAGATCACTGGCTTTCCCACTGGTTTCCACCCTCCTTCCCTCATTTCTGTTCTTAATTTTATCTGCCATTCCAGAGAAACAGACTGGGAGTCAAGGGATTTGTGTACCGGTTTGGGCTGGTCTTATTGTTGGTTATATGACTAAAGAGGATACAGATAGTTGGCTCGACAAAATGTTCTATTGACCTCAAAGGGTTGGCGGGGGAGGAAGAGATAAATAATAAGTGAAAATGAGGTTCTGGGGAAAAGTTACAAGGACAGAGCAAATATAAGGCAGTGATATCAAAAAACAGCCTGGAAAGCTCAAAGGAATCTAGGCAAACATTGAAAAAGCCTCAAATTCTTTATTATATTAGAAGCTGTACCACATTGCCTATTACGAAGGATTAACTCTCTTTATAATTTAAAGTTGGGACCAAGAGATTCATGGAATTTGAGAACTAGAAGGTTAGTTTTTCTCTTAGCAAACTCGTACATAATAGTTGTGGCTTTCTAGATTGTTGAGTAGGGCTCTAAAGCTCAGCAGAAAAATGCGCTCTGATTAATAATTTCCCATCAGTATCCACTATGGGCACAGGAGGGGCTAGTGGCAGGGGTGGCCTGCAGGCTACACATCTCCTGATCCTGATTCTAGTCCAACCCATAGGCATGGGAAAGAGAAATAGTTTGTTAAGATTATATACCTCGTTGCTTTCAACTTTGGAACAGAATCACAAAAGGCAATTTGTACATTTGCCTATTCCTGTTAAGCATTTATATTCATAGTGCCAACCGTGAATTTATGCTACTTCAAATGCCATTTCATTTCTCAGGTTTGTGATGTCTCTATCACATTTTGCCAGTGTGAGGAAATGAGAGTCTAATCTTGTCAATGCAGTATTTATTCTCAATCCCTGTAATATCCATTCATCCTGATTTGAAAGTTGATAAAATCTGTTGGCAACCTCACTGAAGCTGCAAAGCAATTATCCAAAACAATAATTTGCAAAATATTCAATATAAATGGGCACATAAGCCATTCTTGAAACTGATGCACCTTTTTGCTTCACATTTAATTCAGTTTTCCTAAAGTCTCTTGTAAACTCTAAAATCATTTATTACTTTTTCCATCTTTGCTTTAAAATTTACAAACCATACCATAGGGATCTTTCAGGACCTCAAATGAAACATAGTATTTCCAATATTCCCTGAGGAGCTGTGGGTAATTAATGATGAGCAATTCTTTAAAGAATATAAAGAATATAAATTATTTAAGGAATATAAGGATATAAAATGAGTAACCACTTTTATGTTATTCCAGATAGAATAGCAAAGATGGAACGTTTTGCTTCACCTTGACGTCATAGGTGCCCCCTCTCATTTAGAAATAAGTCTTCTCAAAATATACTTAGAGAGATAGAAATGTGTAATTTAAACACAATATAATAACTATTGTTTTGAGGTATGAGAAAAAGCTACAGGGGTATGAAAAGCATGGTGAATTTGAGGAGTGCAAGTAGGATATTCATAGAGCAAATTTTTTAGGTTGGTGGGGTGGCAGAGTTAAAAGATGGAGCTAGAGGTAGGCAGAGGCTTGGTCAAAGAGGGCCTTACAGTTCATTTTAAGGAACCCGGGCAGCTTAAATGTTTTAAGCAGGGCAGTGACAGGGTCAGACTTTTTAGATAAACCCCTGGGCATGAGGAAAGATTTGTGCTTCATGATTCTTTCTATTATAATTATTACATTCCAAAGCTTGTGTCAGTCTCTCAAAACTCACAAGAATATATATGTCAAGTGAAGTCATATGTGTAAAAGATGTGGAAGAATCTTTGGTATTTCCCAATGTCAGTTTGTATGATTTTTTTTTTTGGTAGGCAGGTTACTTTTCTGTTTAGTGGTTTCTTTCAGTGAAGTCTTTTCATTATGCAAAATGTAGACTATTTGATGTATCAAAGCCTGATGGCTTGCAAAAGTGGGGTTATATTAAATCTTGCATTTTTCACTTAGATTTTTCTCTTTGAAAAATCACAGAATTATTCAAAGCCATCTCTTCTTTACTCTCACTCTCAACCTTCCATTGTCTCTCAAATCAATGACCTGAAGATAAGCAGAGTTAACATGCACTAGTTTGTAATAGTAATATAGCTTATTTGACACTATGAATTGTAGTCTGAATATTAGGTGAATTCTGTCTCTCAAACACCATGACAGATTATTCATATTCATTTCTTACTATATGCACTAAGTGCAGGAAAACAAAAGCTTTGCTCATCTCATTGCTAAAGCACTGCAAACATTTTCTGAACTTCACAGATCCTCAGCTTGAAAAGCTGATTGCTGAAACATAGCATCATGAGGGCACCACAGTTTAGAAAACAGCGGGACAGCCTGTTGCCCTACAGCCAAGTAGTGATCCGTAGTAACCAAAGGAACAATAAAAGCTTCATGAAGCAACTTTTTTCTTAGTTCACTATTGAACATTTTTTATTTATTGACTATTTCTGCTGCAAACAAAATAATGAGGAAATGACCAATCAATAGATCACGTTCTTATTAAGTGCCAGACAAAATAATCCTCATAATATAACTACCCACCGTGAAAAGACAGTAGGAAACTGGCAGGAAGGAACTGTAATGTTAATACAACCAAATGCTGTGCAGAACAAAAATATGAGATACTGCTGGGAGCAGAAAAGATTGTTTTCAAAGAAGAGACAGACTTTTCTACAAGTGTTATATCTGGATTCCTAATACTTGAGTGATTGGGAATATGCTTTACCTCTGAAAGGGCCCTAAATCTTTTTCCCTTGTTACCGGCCCACTGTTTTTCTTCAGGCCGTTAATAGCACCGCCTACCTGGACTACTGTGAGAATATACTCACTGGTGTTGAATGCCTTCAGATTTCATGTTGTTGAATCTGTCATCCACTTTTCACCAGTATTATCTTTCAAAAACCAGGGCAAATAACTTCTAAAAACAAAACAACAAGAACAACAAAAAAGCACACTCTTCCAGAGCTTCCAATTACTCAGAGGATTGAAATCTAATTCTTGTTTGTGGAGTGTCCAATATTCTCTGAACATCTGTTCTAAGTTACTCCTATCCTCATTCTTGTATTCCCTGAATTCTCATTACCCTGTGTCTGCCCCACATTCTACAGTTCTCTAAATACTGTGCATGTTCACAACCGCAGACCTTTGCTCCGGCTGCGGCCCCTCCTTAGGATGCTTTCCCCCGAATTCTCCGCCTGAGGAAAACTTACTGCCTGTACAATGCTAGTATTTTTATCACAGTTTGACTTATTAGTTTTATTGGAATCAGAGAGCTCCTTGAAAGTATTACCTGTCACCAGCACCTGTGCTATTGAAATAACACAATAAATGTGTGTTAAATGAAGCTGGAATCCCACCTGAGTTGTCCTCTGGCATCGTCAGAGACTAGCAGTGTTCTTATACCTAATGGATCCTCAGTAAGTGCTTAGGCCCACGAAACTTCCTCTGTCTGCTCCCTTTTTCTTTGACATCCACCCTCTCCATTCTCAACCCTCATATTCAATCAGTGGCCCAATCCTGTTGATTCAGCAATGTTCCCCTTGCCTACGCCACATTCCCGCTGCCATTACCCTAGTTCTGATTCTCATTACCTCTTTCTTGAATTACTGCAAGTGTCTCCTCAGTGATCACTCAGCTTCTAGTCTCTCCATTCTTAGATCATTTTACAACCAGCGGATGGAGTCATTTTCCCAAAGCACAGCTCTAATAATTCCATTCCATGCCTTGAAAAATAGCAGTGGCTCTCTAATGCCTATAGAACAAGCCTGAACTCCTTAACAGGTTCTCTTATCAGCTCCCCACCATGTGCCTTTGCAAACTTTTGTTTTATGTTCCCCCTTTACACGTGCCACACAACACGCTAACCCAAATGCCTTTCTCTGAACCTCTTTGTGACTTTCTCTCTTGGTTTCCTAGGTTGCTCCTCTCTTCTTCTCTACCTGCTGATACGCCCACCTGTCAAGGAATGGATAAAAGGATAAAATGCCCTCTGTCACAATTAGGAATTTCAAGCACCTAATCTTAGACTTTTTGCTCATAGTGTGTATTCACTATATCACTAAAAATGTACAAATGTAATATGCCAATCCCATTTCACTGCCATTTGCATATAAAACTCTACTCTTGATTAAAAACTTTATAGATATAAGTCACATTTGGTTTATCTTTGTTTCTGGGGTTGGGCCTTACACAGCATAGATAATATTCAATACAAGTTTATTAAATTTCTTGGGTAAGACAAAACTTCTTTAAAATCAGAACTATTTAACAATGGAACAGGCTAATCTTCAGGACTGAAAGTATTTGCGGAGAGGCTGGATGATCATATATGAAGAAAACTGGAGGAAATTTCTACATTAGGGAGGTGGTAGAGCTACACAGACTTCAAGGTCCCATACAACTTTGAGTTTCTTTGCTGTCAAGAG